AAAAACATTTCGCTGGTGATTAAAGCCTTTCAACAATATCTGCAGTCGCTGGGAGTTTTGCTTTACTTCAGAAAACTTCGATAGGAAATTCAGAAAACCGAATTAAACATAAAGGTATTAAGTTAATTTTACACAAACTATGTACTGATAAATGGGCTTCGTTTTCCTTCTGTGGCGGATATTTCATCAAAGAGGCAAAAAGCGATTCAATGCTCCCTACCACCTTTTGTCTACTTCACTGTATAGGTCTAAAGACTGTGCAAGTATTGCACATTTTCGTAGACTCTCATTAAAGATTTTTTTCTCTAATGGAAACACATCACAAATGAGAAGAGTTGAGTACTCAACTTTCTTTTGGCTTTGATGCTTAAACTCCGTACTCCCTTTTAAGACTTGACTTCTAGCAAGTAGCACTACTTCTTAACTTCTTCGTCAAAATACAACTCGATAATTACACTAACTTTCTAATCCCCCTACTTCAGTTGCAGTGTGAAGCCATATCTAAAACAAGATCAGAAAACCACTTTCTCGAACTGCCCGTTGAATAAACACATTCACATCTTGATTTGACGCACAATAATGGCACACTTTCGCAAAATGATTCTCTTAAGCTCATCAAAAAGCTAGCAGAAAAAAAAACGAATCTTTTAAAAACCCTCTGAAATACACAAACCTGAGAACTAGAAAATGAATTATCCAGATGTACTTCCAATTACTCTAAAAAAATAAAACGGAACAAAAATGTATTACCAAACCTCCTTAACAAAACTTAACGCTACAACAATTATGGATCCTTGTACAAAATAAAACAAAACAAAAAAAGACAAAAACAATACCGAAATACTATGCCCCACTTCTCATAAAGATGATGAAGAGTGAAATCTGCGAATCTCACAGTCCACTAAAAGCAGTAACAAACAATCTACAACTATTCCTTTCCCAGACCCTGTTCAACAATATGAGACCTGTTTAATCAGAATAATTCACACTAACTTATGCAACATTACTGTTCAAAGAATAATTACTGAAGAACCACAATAGTACGGAATCACAGAATGAGCACGTAGAAACCATGCTTCTGTGCTTATTACACAGTTCAAAAATTTTAAGTGGAGAACTATAGAAGATTATAAATATTCAAATGGTATTTACAGAATGCATGCAAGCTAAGTGATAGACAGAAAAAAATCATACCGGAACTGTACAGAGTAAAGCGTTGGTTTGAGCCAGACTAGTAAGCTTACATCAAAGAAAAAAAAGAAAAAAAAAACAGAAAAGCTCGAAAATAAAAAAGAATAAATTCTTTTGTATATAGTAACTCAGTCTTGAGTCGTTACTCAGAAAAATAACTTTTCCATTGCACTTCAGACATTATTAACTTCAAGGTAAAAAAAATTTCTAGAATTTACCCTTTTCATGCCTGATTTATTATTGTGCAATTTTCCATTTCTAATGAAGACCTTAAATATATGAGGCATAACATTATATGTCACAAACCGAAAGCTCAGCTTTCTCGAAAACAAATCTTTTCTAAACGATTAAGTAAAACTCGAACATTTATATGGGGGAGTACCCATTTGCTTCAGCACACTATCCAACCACTGCAGAGGTCCATTAAAATATGCGTCAATCCAACATGGAGTATCAGTTATACGCTGACGTTTGTACTTACTGCCCCAGCCTTTCACAAAGGAAAATCGCACAGAACATAATCTAGTCAAAGCATAGACGGCCTCAAATCCAAATGGAACACACTTTTCAACCAGGAATGCAAATTCATCCTTCTTAAAAACGCATAGCGCACAACCTGAAATCAAAAGTATCAATTCTGGAAAGAAAAACGTTAAAATTAGCAAAAACTGGTCCGTCACTCAATATAACAATCAGCGCAAAATTGACAAATAAACAACTAATAATGAAACCCTATAAAATAAATGTGATAACTGTTGAACATACGTGACGGGATTTTGCACACGGTAGCTAAGTGTAATCCATGCCGTCGATTACAGTTGGCGTTCTGAACAAAGATTGCTTGATCGCTCAAACACTCAAGGTAAATCTCATTGCCACAGGTATAGAACCGACAACCACGACCTACATAAAGCACTACATCACTTGACATCACAAACTTTAAAAAACACCCACAAATAAATACTGCAAATACCGCTGAAAGAGACAAAGGGTGTTTTGTTATTGATTAACTAACTACCTGTGAGAATTAGAGTTTAATTTTTAGCGGATACCTATTTGTCGACGTGCCTCTACCACATCGCTGGTTCTATTAGAGTTGGAAAGAAGACCAAGACAGAACCGTCCAGATTCTGTTGACGGATTAGTAAATCCATCAATGCATACTTGAAGACCAGATCCAAAAAAAAGGTCACCAACTCGCTGTGAATGTTCATAATAAGCAATTGTACACCAAAAAGGCGGTTCTCGGTATTCCACCGCTACCAAATTTGCTGCAAGTGAAATATTAATGAAAAATAATATGCAGTACTAAATAGAGAATATGTCAAATAATTACGGTTTTTTTGGCTATCCTTCAGTGTAAGACACTTTTCGACAGCATAGTCTAATAATGAAGACTCAAGCGCTGCAACATCGCTTTCTCCCTTCTCACTGAACTGCTCCATTGATACATCTAAAAAACAAGTCGGCTTTCTCTACGAGTTCAGTCTCTTTAAATCACCTGATAAGAACTGCCAAAATAACTCACGCTCTGGCCGTGGATTTAACGGACTACTAGTGTCTTCAGCAGATGGCGTTGGAGGTGTCGACGTAGCACTTTCACTTAGAACTGAAGATATATCGCAGTACTGAGCAGTATCTTCACCTTCCAAAGGCAATTCACAATTTGGAACCTGGCCATCTTCCCTTTCATAACCCACCATCATCTTCTTCAACCAATCTGATGGTTTCTAAGAAATCAACTCACATACAGACTCCAATATACAAGTACCTTTAACTTCAGTCATCAATTTCAGAAAAAAAAATAGTTCAGTATATCCTCAAGTTAGACATCTGTCCAAATGAAATCTAAAAGCACTAGCTGAAGCCGAAATACTATCATCATCTGCTGATACAACCTTCAATGAAAACTCTGTGCTAAATAAAGGGTGTGACGAAGCTGATACGAGACTACCTGTCGCAAACTGTTATCTGCCAATGAACTGATTCCTTGCATCATTTCCTCTTCTTTCTTCTGTATCAAAATTGGAGGGATTTCTGAAATAGGAAGAACTCCAAATTCTAGAAACACGGACATGCGGGGAAGTAAGACCAACGGATATAAAATGCAACTTTGTAGTTCTATCCGATAAAACAAACCATTTGTAAGGGAAGGATTAAAATTTCCCTTCAAGAGTTCTCAATAAGTCAAGCGCAAACAAAAAATAATGCCATCAAAACAGAAAAAAAAACTAAAAATGATTTATTTTGATGAGAAATTACCTGGGGTTTCAACTTTTTCGTAGTGAAACGGATTTACACAAACGTTTTCCAGCTTCTTGCTGAAGGGATATAAGCAATGGGGTACTGAACGTAGCTGGTGAGGTGAAACGATATCTGGGTAACGCCACATACGGCAATATACAACATGTGGCAGACATTTGCGCTGGGATACTTGCAATCTTCCGTCAACAGATCTGGAAAAATATATTATTCCACTGAAATG